GAGGGCACAGCGCAGTGACCTATGTGGGGATCAAATCGGCAACCTTGGTGTTATGAGCCTGCACTCTAACCAACTGAGTTAATCTGCCACCCCGGCCTCCTCCAGTCTTGACAACAAAAAATATCTCCAGACATTGCCAAGTGTCCTCTCGGGGGCAGAAATGTCCCCAGTTGAGGGCCACTGGTTTTTGTGGACACTCTTTCAGGACTGTGCCAAAATTGCAGGAAGGGCTCCCTTCTCTTAGTGAGGCATCCTTTGATTCCATTTTAAATGCAGAAACTTTGGCTCAGAAGAAAATATACATGTGCCCAAGAAGCACACAAAAAAATGCTGGACATCACTAATCATCAAGGAAATGCAAAGCAAAACCTCACACTCATTAGGTTGTGAGAAACAGGAAGCAACGAGAGTTGATGAGAATGTGAAGCAACTGTACCCCTTCTACACTGTTGGTGGGAACGGACAGTGATACAGGTGTGGCAACACTGAAGGCTCCTCGAAGAAATGAAAACAGAATGGCCACACCGTGACCAAAGAGGACATGTGTTGCTTAGACACAGACAGTGAGCGTATCAGCACTGTTAAAGATGACCTCGTTCAGTTGTCCATTCAAATGGAGACGGCAGCCCAGAAATCAAGAGAAGGCTGATGCTTGGAAGGGCAGCAATGGAAGAATTAGGAAAGATCTCCAGGAGCAAAGGTGTGTCATTAGAGACCAAGGTTAAGACCATCCACACACTCATATTCCCAGTTATTATGTACCGATGTGAAAGCTGGACAGTGAAGAAGGCTCATAGGAAAAAATCAATTCATTTGAAATGTGGTGTGGGAGGAGAGCTCTATGCATACCCTGGACCACCAGAAAGATGAACAAGTGGGTCCTAGAGCAAATTAAGCCTGAAATATCACTGGAGGCTAAAATGACAAAACTGAAGCTGTCCTACTTCATGCAGAGCGTGAGAAGGCAGGGTTCTTTGGGAAACACAATAATGCTGGGGAAAATGGAAGACAGCAGGGAAAGAGGGAGACCAAATATGAGATGGATGACTCCATAAAAGAAGCCACAGACATGAGTCTACAGGAGCTGAGCAGGGCTGTGAGGACAGGACGCTGTGGACGTCACTCATTCATAGGGTCACCAGGAATCAGGTTGCCAGCAATTCCACTTCTGGGTATATACCAAAAATGAATGAATGAATGAATGAATAAAAGCAAGGACTTAAGGAGATAGTTGTACATGCGTGTTCAAACCAGCATTATTCACAATGCTAAAACAGGGAAGCAACCCAAGTGTCCATCAGCAGATGACTATAAACACAGTGTGGTCCATCCAGACAATGGAGTTTTACTCAGCCTTTAAAAGGAAGGAAATTCTGACACCTGCTTACAACATGGATGAACCTTGAGGACATTAGGTTCAGTGAAGTAAGCCAATCACAGGACGACAAACACTGTGTAATTCCCCTTATATGCGGTCCCCAGAGGAGTCAAATCCTGAGACAAGAAGTAGATGGTGGTGCCAGGGGCTGGGGGAAGGGGATGGGGAATTAGCGCTTTGGATGCTATTAAAGAAATTGATGGAGAGAAGAGGCAGGATGGAGACTAGATTGACTTGTATCACAAGGGGCCCTGATGGTTCCTCAATAAGTTAAATATGGTTTCACATGACCCAGCAATTCCACTCGTAGGTATCTACCCAAGAGAAATGAAAACATATGTCCACACAAAACTCATACACAAATGTTCACAGCAGCATGATTCACAATGGCCAAAAGGAAGAAACACTACAAACATCCATCAGCTGATGAATGGATAGACAAACATAGCCCAACCACACACTGGAATATTGCTCGGCCATGAAAAAGAGGAAAGCACTGACACTCGCTACAATGTGGATGGATCTTGAACACATGGTGCTGAGAGAAGCCAGACACACAGGCCACACACAGTGTGTGGTTCCATTTACATGAAACGTCCAGAACAGGCAAGTCCACAGTGACAGAGAATGGGTTAGCTGTTGCCAGTGGCTGGGGAACGGGGATGAGGGGGTGACTGCTTAATGAGTGCAGGGTTTCTTTTTGGGCTGATGAAAATGCTTTGGAACTCGACAGGGGTGATGTTTTTGTTGTTGTTGTTGTTGTTGTTTTAGCTGAGCCATCCTGCCACCTGTTGGCAGCTCAGTGGCTGCTCAGCTCGGGCTGGACTCGAACTGTTGTTGCTCAGAGCTCAAACTCTTGAGCGAGCTCTTAACCAACTGAGCCACTCGGCCGGCCCTGACAGGGGTGATGTTTGCACAACATTGTGAATATACTAAATGACATCGAATTGTATACTTGAAGATGGTTAAACTGGGGAGTTTTATGTGAATTTCATGCCCCCTCTCCTCTAAAAGTGAAAAAGAGCCATGAATTGTGAGAGAGAAAGTAACTGAACTGGAAGGTCAGGAGGGGGGTTCGAGAGGATGGGCAGTGAAGGCAGAGCCAGGGTGGGTGAATTTTGGAGGGAGGGAGAGGAAGGCAGAGGGCTTTTAGGCAGTTTGTGGGTGGGAAGTTCTGTAAAGAGTTGGTCCGCTGATGTTTTGAAGGCAGATGTGTCTTGGGTTCAGATGTGACAAACTGATAAGATGGTCCCAAAACTGGCCCCTGGCAGCTCAGCTTTACCTGGATTGCGGACATTCTCCAGGGGCCCATTTATGTACAGTATCTACAACTGTCCAATGGGGCTTGGAACATTCGGAGTATCAATTTACTCAGGTTCACCCAATCACCTCATTGACAGTCAAACTGGAACACCATAATGAAAAGTAAGACAGAGGCCGAGCCACAGCGTGACCCTTCTGCTGTGCTCCACTGTCTCCCTCGGGGCTTTATTCGCCAGTGTTTAGCAAGCAGGTGGCAGGCCCCATGTTGACTGGGGCAGGGCGCCATCTTGGGGGGCCCACATCTGTTCCCAAAACTAATATAAGTGAAGCAAAAGAATAATGAATTGCCAAATGGTGATCTACCAACCCAGGGGTTCTCCCCTGAGGGGATTTGGACACTGGGTGATGTTTGGGGACATTTTTGTTGTCATCACTTAGTGTGGTGCTCCTGGCATGGTGGAGGCCAGGGATGCTGCTCAACACCCCACAGTGCCCAGGATGGACCCCACAGAGAGTGATCCAGTCCCAAATGTCAGCAGTGCTGAGGCAGGGGTTGACCATGGTGAGTACCTGAGTTCTCTCTTTCTCTTTCCCTTTTTCTGAAAAAGAGAAGGTCGTCCCTCTTTTTCTCTAAAGAACAACATTGCCCTGTCTTCATTCTGGACCCTAGCTCCTTGCCTCCTACCTTAGGGTTCTCTTCTCTCTCCATCAACCTTGTCTTCTCTGCTGTTCCCTGTCCCTAATATGAAGTACATCAGACTGAATATTCTCATCACCCCAACCTTGTCACCAAGCATCTAGGACTTATTCTTGCCCAGAGCAGCTTGTTCTGGCTTGTAAGTACAATCCCCAATGGAAACACTAGGTTCCCACCTAGTGGGATGGGGGTTCAGGCCAACTTTCGTTAGAATTTTAAAGGGCAAGGTAACATTCAGGGGTGGACTTCCAAGCAATGGTATGGTTTGTACTTCCAAAATTAATAACCTTTTCACTCATATTAGCTGAACTCAAACAAAATAAAAATCAAAACAAAACAAAAATGTATACCCATAGATGCATTCCAGGTACCGGCTTCATAATCATAAATATAGACTTTTCGATTCACTACTAACAGCAATACTGAACCGGCAAAATGTGCTGATGTTACTTCTGGTATGCCAACCTACAAATAATGACATATATGACATCAATAAGTTCATCTTTTCAGACATCGATTCGGGAAGCAATACATCTACACACACATCCAAGATAAGTTTGTGTGAGAAGGAGGTGTTTGCTTCCTAGATATTGGGGACTATATGTATCTTGGGGTCTGCTGAAACCAAAACTGGAAGGTTGAAATTCATGTTGGATGCTTTTAGACACTGAAATTCCCTCTATCTCCTTCTCCTTCATCAAAACTTTCTTTGAGGATAAAGCCTGAAGATAAATGATGAGCTTAACTGTTGCTTCTAAGAGTAATATTCGGATCCTAATTGATGGCAACACCTTTTTAGTATAGGTCTTACTGGTAAAATTTCTCAAGATAGTTTCCGAGAGGGTAAAGGTTTCTCTGTTCTTTAGTACAATTTAGGGAGGCCTGGAAATTAATGCATATCATCTATCTATTCATAACACACAACCAATCGTAGGGAGCACTGGCAACAATTCTGCTTCCTTTTCAAAAGGGGAAAAAAACTTCATTTTGGTAGTAAGGGCAGAATGGAATCAACCCTCCTTTTGGCCTAGAAATTGCTCTCAATGTCTTTAAGGGGCACATTTTGTGAAATAAAACCCCAAACTAACAAAACAGACTAGTGTGATATTTCCAAACTCCATCTTCTCTGAGTATCACGTATTTCAAGCATCCTTCAGATTGTTCCGTAAAATAACTACCTGCATTGAAGTGGGGATGGAAAATGGAAGGAGACTACTCTCAAAGTTATTTCTCGTGAAAAAAAGTTGTTTTCTGAAATAAACAATAAAAGAATTAAATTAGGATAATTTCACACAAGAAAAAACACAATGGTGGGCACTCTAAGAAACATCCCATTCAAACAGAATTCCTTTTTTAACAAGGAACTATTTAGCTTCTATCTATCTATCTATCTATCTATCTATCTATCTATCTATCTATCTATCATCTTTTTACATGAGTAAATTTCTATAGCCTGGGTATTTGGCGTCTTGAAATAACATTATTATAAAAGTGTGACCATGTCAAATACAATATTGTATAAAATGCCCATTAAGTGACAGCCTACCTTACTCAGGATGAACTTCAGTTTTGTCATTTAGGTGGCTCTAATCTCACTAAAGTAAAGGATTTAAGATCAAGAACGTGTATGTAAGAAAGAAACAATTTTTTTCTTCATGCAGAAAACTTTTAAGAAGTGAAAGGCCATCCATGAACGTGGTATTTCCAGGTCTTTTCCCACCCACTCCAGAAAAGTGCTATGGTTTTAGACAGAGAGGAATTGCTGAGTTAACTTCCATGTATTTTAACATTTTTATTGCCATGGTGAATGGTATTTTTCATAATTGCCTCTTCTAAGTGGTCATAACTGGTTTATAAGAGAGCTGTTGATTTTTAAAAGGCTTTTATTAAAATATAGCTAACACAATATTATATTAGCTTCAGGTGTGAGCTGTTGATGTTTTTAACATCTATCTTGTGTTTGGCCATCTTGCTGCACTCAGTTGTTACTTCTGTTAGTTGATACATTTGGACTTGGCAAATGTTGTCTCTTTCTTTCCAATTGTTCTATATTTCATTCTTTCTCTTGTCATATTGCATTGGCTGTGACCTCCAATATAAAGTTGAGGTAGAGTGATATAATTCTGTTTGCTATTTCTACCTTTATATTGAGTACCATTCTTGAAACAATATCTCCCTCCAATAAAGCCTCCCTGGTCTCTTGATGGACTATAGCCTCAGTCCCTCACTTGTGTCCTCTGCTGTATCACCTTTCTGCTTTTTGTTCTCCACCCAACAGTGACCTTTTAGAAGTGAAGTCATATGGAGTCACTCCCCTGCTTAATCTCTGGTGGCATCCCACTAGAATTAAACTGGAATTCAAATTCATCACCATGGTTTACAAAACCCCACATGATGTGACACTGTTGAAATCTCCCTTCACTTTCTGCACTTAATCATTGCGCTTGAACCATCCCTCCAACAATCAAGTCAGGTCCTCTCTCAGGGCCTTTGCATGTGCTATCCCTGCTGCCTGGAATGTTCTTCCCCTTGACTGCAAGACGAAAGGACACTCCAGGAAGAGGGATCAGCTGGGACAAAAGTCTCAGGATGGGCATGTGCTAGGAACATAAAGTTTGGTTAACTTCCTAGAAATGGGATCATGTCCAAGAATATGTGTTGAACATTTTGACAGATTCTGACAAACTGTTTTTCCACAGAAGGGGGACCCACTTAGCCTCATGCTTGTTGGCCCCCATCCTCACCCACATGATAGGCAAAAAGTGCTATCTAATAATTTTGTTAAGCATTAGAATCTCTTGTTTCTGGACACCCTTGGAGTCAGACCCTCCCTGACTCCAGTGTGTTCTGGGCATCAGGATACCATTTAAATGTGTTGTGGGGGCAGCCGACTGGCTCAGTTGGTTAGAGCGTTGTGCTCGTAATAAGGTTGCCAGTTCGATTCCCACATGGAATGGTGGGCTGCGCCCCTCCGCAACTATCAATAGTTGAAAATGGTGACTGAAGGCCGGCCGAGTGGTGCGTTAGTTAAGAGCTGGCTTGGGATGCCAGCTCTGAGCAACAGGGCCCTGGTTTGGATCCCACATGAGGGCCAGTGACACTGCCCTCCACAACTAAGANTAAAGGAATCACTACTATTCTGTGAACCTTGTTGTAAAGATTAAACGAGCCCATGCATCAAAAGCACTATTTCATCAGTAAACAGGACCCTGCTACATGTGACAGCTCACTCCAGGCAGGAGCTCCCTGAAGACAGGAACTAGGCTTTAGCATCTGTCTAGCCCCCATGGCACCTTGCCTAGTCTCCACCTACGTTTATGAAAATCTAAAAATATTCTAGGTAAGGCGTGAATAAGATAAACATTCTACCCCCTCATAGGCTAATATTCTAGTGGCAGCAACAGACAAGAAAGAAAAATTGTCAAAAGAAAAAAATAACAGAAGTTAGTGATTGGTAGGAAAAAGCAGCTATGGGGAGAGGGGAAACAGAAGGGTAACAGTTGAGGAGGAGGTCCTAAACAAGGAAATATGCTATTGAAGTCAGGATCTGACTGATGAGAAATAAGCCATGGAGGGAGAAGCCTGGAAGCAAAGCGTGCCAAGAATAGGGAGTAGCGGCGCCAAGTCTCCCCGTCCCCAAAGCTGGACCGAGTTTGGCGAGTTCAAAGGACAGCGTGGCTGGAGCAGTGGTTCAAGGGTGGGCAGGGGCCAGATCTGTGGTTGTCAAACTCCCAGGGTACACTTGGCAATGCCTAGAGACATTTCTGATAGTCAAGCCTGGGGAAGGAGATACTGGCATCTAGTGGCTGCAGGCCTGGGATGCTGTTCAACATCCGAAAATGCACAGGACGGGCCTGGGCCAGATCATGCGAGGAAATGCAGGCTGCGCAAGGAACTTGGGTTTTATTCTGGGTGCCGCAGAGAACCAGGGAAGGGGAGTGACGAGATGAGATTCGTTTATCAATAATTCCTCTGGCTGTCGGAGTTGGGGATTGACAGGAGGGCACAGCCGAGGGTAGTGGCAGTGGAAGTGGCTTGAAGGACTCGGAATTGAAGCGGCAACAGGAGGTGATGGCCTGATGGGTTGGGTAGGAGAAAGGGAGGTATCACGTTCGATTTCTAGAAGAGTAAACTGGGAAGTCTCAATGAGATTGAGGAGCGAAGCGTTTTTCCTGGATTCTGCCCAGGCCTCCGCTCAGAAAAGCCAGCCCCCTCCCGGACCTCTGGCAGTACCCCAAGCCCGGGAGGGCGGCCCCACCGGCACAGCGGCTGAGCTCGGGCCAGCGGGCAGAGCCGCAAGGTCGCCGTCGCCACCAGCATCAACACCAGCATCTCGTTCGCTGCCCCTCCGCAACCACTGCTCCTTAACCGTCGCGGGAAGTCGCTTCACAGTCCGGGCATGCGCAGACTAGAGATGAGCACTGTATGGTGTCAGAACCCGAGCCTGTGCACCTTGCTTCGCGGAAGCCCGAATCCGCCCACCTCAACACGCCCCCTCCCAGCGCCCGGGCATGCTCACGCTCTCCCTGGAGTCTGAGCATGCGCTCGTCTTCTCCCAAACCGGTCCCCCAGAGCCTGGGCGTGCGACTGTCACCCACCCACTTCGGATCCCACATATGAGGGCCAGTGACACTGCCCTCTACAGCTAAGATGCTGAACAACAGCTCAACCTGGAGCTGGGCTGCTGTGAGTCTAGGGGCTGCTCATCTGCCCCTGTGCTGTGGCTTCTCCGTGACAGACCTCCTCTGTTATCCTGCCTCCCTCGGCTTCTAGGTCTCCTGCTTTCCGTCTCTTTCTCTTCTTCGACCTGCCATAAAGTCAATATTCCCCAGAGCCTCTGGCCACTGAACATGTGATGCCTGGGTGACGGCAGCCATGCCTGCAGCCGGAACTACCACACACGTGGATTTGACCTTCTGTTCCCATCTCCAGCCTTATGTGTCCTCCACATCCCGCAGACAGCATGCCATCAGGGGTCGCCACCCCTCTCCGCAATCTTTCCACCAGAAACTTGAGAGCCATCTTAAACCACTTGCTCACCTCAGTTCCACATACCCCATGAGTCAACAAGTCCTGTGGACTTCTCCTTTATGGGGCCTTTCCTTCAATTCAGGCTTTTTTATGCTGTGTTTTTTTGTTTTCTTGGCCTTTGCTTTTGGAAATCCTCCTGAACACATTGTGTGGCCCCAAATCCTCCACTGCCTTTAGGACGAGGGGTAAACATCTTGGTATGATTACATACCTGGTTTTGTACCCTTGCATCCTGACAAGCCCCAGTGCAAGCTGGGCATGGCATCTCCATCCCTTTGAATGCTCTGCTCTAAGCCCATTCATATTTCGTTCCCTCTTGCCCCATGGTGAACTCCTATTCATCCTTTAAAACCCAGTTTGGGCATCAATTCCCCAGGGGAAACTTCCTGGGCATTTTCTCCTTGGGCACCCCCATGAGTGCTTATATCAAGCATCTGTGACAGGTGGTACGAGAGTATACTTAATTATTTTGGTGACTTGCTGGTCTCTTCATCTCTCTCCTCTCACCCCCACCCCAACTGTGGACTCCCTGCAGGCCAGCAACTAGCAACATAGGACAGAGCCATCTTCCTTACTGTTTGTTGAATGAGTCAATGAGGGCAAATCTAACATTATAATAAAAAAGGAAGGTAACAATTCACAAGATGGTCACTTACCCTAGATACAGGGCTATGCTTTTCTTGCAAGGGTGTTTAATCAAACGTGTTGCAGCAGGTGAAAAATACAGGTGGTCCTAGAGAGACAGTCACAAAAGTTTAATATCAATAATAATAATAAACACCTGATAAAAAACACTGTCCTAATGTGCAACACAGGAAATGTAAAGGTGAAATCTGAATTAGGCAGGTGGAGTGTATCAGTGTCCTTTTTCTGTTTTGATATTATACTCTGGTCATGTCAGATGTCACCACTGAGTAAAGGGGTACCTGGAACATCTCTAAACTATTTTTGCAACTTGTTGTGAATCTATCATGTTAAAATAGTGAAAAAAAATTCCAGGATAATAATTCATATCACATCTCCTTCCATGTACATTATTGTTTATTTACAGATGTTAGTTATTAGAAAGAGAAGCTAGAGGACAAAGAATCGTCAAGTTAACATGATAGAAACCAATTACTTGGAGGTTATTTAGAGATGCTGACACCTATTCTGAAGTGTCAATAGGAAACACATTTAACTGGTGAAATCTTTTTTTCTTCATGCATTTTAGGCACACGTGGGGTTTCCTGTTGCACTGTCATGTAAACAAAGTAACAGTTTGCGTCCTATGTTACTGCGGATTTAAAATCTCTTATCAAATAGGACACTGGTGATCTGAGTTCTAAATCCACTTCTATCTCCTGGCTTTGTCCAGGTTACTTGATCTCTCTCAACTACTTCTTTAATGGAATGGGAAGATAAATCCCTTACTTCAAAGGGCAATGTTAAGGATTAGCCAGTGTTCTATGCCTGATATACCACTGGCACCCCCAAATACTGGGACATGCTCTGATCCAGTGATGAAACGTGTAAAATGAATGTTAAATATGGAGCCACATACCCCTTGAGTTTGCTGTCCAACTTGAAACATCTTTCCGGTTCTCACCGTGTGAATACTAGAGTTAAGCGACATGAGAGACCATCTGTCAATGTCTATTGAGTATTCAGCATGACCCTGACCAGGCTGCCTCTGGGTTAACTCTTAAGTGCCTGTTCTTGATGCTTTTAGGGTTATGGGAGCTCCTGAAAAATCTGATGCAACTGGGGGCCCTCCTCTCCCACAAACAGACATATGCATATGCAAAAATATAATTCCCAAGGGCTCATTTGCAGACCTCAGATTAGGAAGAGTAGGAATTTCTACTCCAAGGTTTTCTTTTTCTTTCTCTTTGTTTTTGGAGGGGGGCATTGCTGGCTGGGAGAATATTGGTATAGTTTACACAACCTGTTCTGTCTTGGATGTGCACCAGAATTACCTGGAGGGTTGGATAAACTGAAGAGGGCTGGGCCCCACCTGAGTCTCTGATTCATGGAATTGCAGTGCTAACAAATTCCCAGGTGATGCTGTTGCTGCTGGTCCAGGACCACACTTTGAGAACCCATATGGAGACATGGGAGAATTAGGTATAACCAATCTTTTCAGACTTTGAGACAAGTCCTCCTAGTAAACCTTACTGGAAAACCCTACTCCCCCCACTGACTAGTTATGTGTTTTTAATTTTACTGGGTCTGTTTTCATGTCTATAATATAAGGTAAAGGAATCACTACTATTCTGTGAACCTTGTTGTAAAGATTAAACGAGCCCATGCATCAAAAGCACTATTTCATCAGTAAACAGGACCCTGCTACATGTGACAGCTCATTCCAGGCAGGAGCTCCCTGAAGACAGGAACTAGGCTTTAGCATCTGTCTAGCCCCCATGGCACCTTGCCTAGTCTCCACCTACGTTTATGAAAATCTAAAAATATTCTAGGTAAGGCGTGAATAAGATAAACATTCTACCCCCTCATAGGCTAATATTCTAGTGGCAGCAACAGACAAGAAAGAAAAATTGTCAAAAGAAAAAAATAACAGAAGTTAGTGATTGGTAGGAAAAAGCAGCTATGGGGAGAGGGGAAACAGAAGGGTAACAGTTGAGGAGGAGGTCCTAAACAAGGAAATATGCTATTGAAGTCAGGATCTGACTGATGAGAAATAAGCCATGGAGGGAGAAGCCTGGAAGCAAAGCGTGCCAAGAATAGGGAGTAGCGGCGCCAAGTCTCCCCGTCCCCAAAGCTGGACCGAGTTTGGCGAGTTCAAAGGACAGCGTGGCTGGAGCAGTGGTTCAAGGGTGGGCAGGGGCCAGATCTGTGGTTGTCAAACTCCCAGGGTACACTTGGCAATGCCTAGAGACATTTCTGATAGTCAAGCCTGGGGAAGGAGATACTGGCATCTAGTGGCTGCAGGCCTGGGATGCTGTTCAACATCCGAAAATGCACAGGACGGGCCTGGGCCAGATCATGCGAGGAAATGCAGGCTGCGCAAGGAACTTGGGTTTTATTCTGGGTGCCGCAGAGAACCAGGGAAGGGGAGTGACGAGATGAGATTCGTTTATCAATAATTCCTCTGGCTGTCGGAGTTGGGGATTGACAGGAGGGCACAGCCGAGGGTAGTGGCAGTGGAAGTGGCTTGAAGGACTCGGAATTGAAGCGGCAACAGGAGGTGATGGCCTGATGGGTTGGGTAGGAGAAAGGGAGGTATCACGTTCGATTTCTAGAAGAGTAAACTGGGAAGTCTCAATGAGATTGAGGAGCGAAGCGTTTTTCCTGGATTCTGCCCAGGCCTCCGCTCAGAAAAGCCAGCCCCCTCCCGGACCTCTGGCAGTACCCCAAGCCCGGGAGGGCGGCCCCACCGGCACAGCGGCTGAGCTCGGGCCAGCGGGCAGAGCCGCAAGGTCGCCGTCGCCACCAGCATCAACACCAGCATCTCGTTCGCTGCCCCTCCGCAACCACTGCTCCTTAACCGTCGCGGGAAGTCGCTTCACAGTCCGGGCATGCGCAGACTAGAGATGAGCACTGTATGGTGTCAGAACCCGAGCCTGTGCACCTTGCTTCGCGGAAGCCCGAATCCGCCCACCTCAACACGCCCCCTCCCAGCGCCCGGGCATGCTCACGCTCTCCCTGGAGTCTGAGCATGCGCTCGTCTTCTCCCAAACCGGTCCCCCAGAGCCTGGGCGTGCGACTGTCACCCACACACCCTTAGCGCATGTGTATGCACAGGACTGTCCACAAGTTCCCAACGCTTCACTTGCAGCAACAGCTGCTGTGTTTCCCGGGCCCATGGCACGTGCTCACAGCCCTTCATGTGATCCGAAGAGGCTTGGACACGGTAGCCGGTTGGCTGTTATAGGTGGGTGTGAGGGAGCTCGAACCCCGCCCCCTCTGTTCTTCGTTGGCACCAACATCGCTGTCTTCAAAGCCCCGCCCCCCGCAGCTCTCCGCTCTGGGCCAGATACTCTCAGAGCACCGGAGCACGCGCCCGACGTCACGTGCACCTCATCCAGACGAGAGGAAATGACGCAAACCCTGTGCGCCGCCAGGATGGCCCGGCCATGGCTATGGGCACAGGTTACGTGCGACTGTGGGGCGCTGCGCGGTGTTGGGCGCTGCGGCGGCCGCTGCTGGCCATCGCCGGGGGGCGGGTTCCGATTGCGGCCGGAGCGTGGTTGCCTAGAGGCCGGCGGGCCTGCGACGCCTCTCCTCCGTGGGCCCTGTGGGGCCGTAGCCCGGCGGCCGCCGGCCAGTGGCGGGGGCTTTGGGAGGCGAACAGCCGTGGCGGTAGCGGCGGCGCATTCTCGGGCGGTGAGGATGCTTCCGAGGGCGGTGCGGAGGATGGCGCCGCAGGCCCTGGGGGCAGCGCGGGCGGTGGGGAAGGACCCGTTGTAACGGCGCTGACGCCCATGACTATCCCGGACGTGTTCCCGTACCTGCCGCTCATCGCTGTCACCCGCAACCCGGTGTTCCCGCGCTTTATCAAAATTATCGAGGTAATGAGAGCCCCCTCCTTGGCTTACATTTCCCCACCTCAGCAAGCAACAGGTTGGAGGGACCAAGAGATCACTTAGCAATTCATCGAAAGTTTTTCAGACACGAAGTTTCTCAAAGGCAGGAGTTCGAATCTATGTCTGCTCATCACTATCTTAGTGAACTTGAGCCACATTCCTCCCCCTTTAGGATCCCTTAAGAGGAGTTGAACCCAGTGAGCTTAGGACTGTTCACTTGGAGTCCTAATCATAGAAGTCCGGCTCTGAGAAGGACCAGAACAGTCTTGCTGCCCAGTTACCTTTTTGCAGGTCTTTGTAAATGTTTTGTAATCCTCTCCCCCTTCTGTTTACTAGTCCCTTTGGGATCAGGATTCATTCCTTTCTTAAACTTCTTGATCGCTAATCATGTGCTAGGTTCAGTTCTAGGTGTTAGGGCTACAGCAGTGAACAAGAAAGAAAAATTTCTGCCTGTGGAGCTCACATTTTAGCAGGATGCGAGAGGCAATAAACAAGATTAGTAAGTATGTGCTGGAAGGCAATAAGCGCTACAGGGAATAATAGAGCAAGGAATGGTACTGGAAACTGAGGAGGAAGGTGGGAGAGGAAGGTTCTCAGTGGGTGCAGCTGTGGTTTTCCTTATTCAGCAGTGCTCTTAACCTACCATGTAGCAGGCACTGAGGATACAGAAGCAGACAAGTCAAACACAGCCCCTGTGCCTAAGGAACTCGTTCTAGTGGAAGAGGCAGGAAACCAGATCATTTCAGACTAAGAGCTATAGAGGGAGGGTTGGGTGGGGAACTAGGGTGATGTAATAGAGACAAAGCAGCATGAGTGCAAGGAACATGAGTTTTTAGAGTAGGAAGGATCCAAATGCTTCCCTTCTTCCCCAGCCCCCCTTTGTTTTTGTTAAATGTGGGAACTGAAGTCCATGGAGGAGAAAGGTTATTTGCCGTCTAAGCAAGGTCATACAATGAGTCAGCCTCTGCATTCACCCTCCAGCCTCTCCCCTTTACACTCCAGTCCCTGCTAAATAAATCTCAGGAATCCCTTGGAAAGGGACAGGACAATACAGCGGGGCAGCAACCAGCCAGTGGGGAGGGAACAAAAGGAGCCTTTCTACCTCGGCTCCTGCACTGCTTCTTGTGTGTATCTGAGCTACCCTTCCAAGGGCCTTCCTTGATGTTGAGTAGTGGTTACTTGTAGGCCTCAGAGCCAGATCCTCTGGCTAGCTCCACTGCCCCTAGCTTCTTAAACTTGGGCAAGCTATTCCTCTGGGCCTCCATATTCTCATCTGTGAAATGGATATACTGATAGTATCTCATTTCTTAGAGCTGTTGTGGGAGGTGAGGTCACGTGTAAAGAATTTAGAATGGTGCTTAGTATGCCCCAGTAGTAAGCAGCTGCTGTTTCCTCTGCGGGGCGCTTCTGAGTGTTCTGAAGCCTGCCCTGGAGGCCTTTTTCCCGTTCTTGACCTCATCCTCAGCAGTCCTCTCTATTCTCCCAGGCCCAGGACTTCACCAAGTATGGCCTCCCCAGCCCTGCAGAGTGGCAGATGTCCTTTGTCCCTGGTGCCCAAACAGAGATAATCTAAGATATTCTGTGTGCCCACCCAGAGCTACCCAGGAGGGTTAAGCGAGTCACTATGGGTAGCATGAGGCTGGCATGTGGTATCACTGTATTTCTATTGCTATGACCTTATAAATAATGAAAAGAGATCGTGCCAAAGGGGAGGGACAGGTGCTCAGATGCAGCAGTCAGCTGATAGCACAGGAGAGATGGGGACAATGCCTGTGGGACACGATAAATGTTTCTGAACTTGTTAGCAAAGATCCCTTGACTCTCAGTTTTGTAGTTGACTCTGTAAGTGGCTAACTTGCCCCATAGCTTCTCTCCTTATCAGTGGCTTCTGAATATTGACCAGTGGCTCTTCATTTTTGTTGGGCCATGTACCCTTCTGACGGTTGTCGTTGGACCTTTTCCCTGGCAAAAATACATCTACAGTGGTAAGAATTCCCAAACAATAAGAGCTCCTGTTAGGGAGTCAGTTAAAACATTGGTTCTCAAAACCTGGTGCCTGGACCGGCAGCATCACCTGGGAGTTTGTTTGAAATGCAAAGTCTCAGGCCCTTTTTAGTCCTGCAAAGGAAACTGCAGGGGTGGAGCCCAGCAATCTGTTTTAACAAGTCCTCCAGGTAACTCTGATGCATGCTGAAGTTTGAGGGCTGTTAAGTTGAATCAGAGTCTGGTCTGGGAATTAACTTAGGCTTGAAACAAATCAATTGAGCCTTGAAGACATCTGTGCACCACCCCATCAGCTGTTTCCTAGGAGTCATCATTAATCCTCTATCTGCCATTGAAAGGATATTAAGTCAATGTACTGTGATCTTAGGGGTTTCAATGATGGATGAATAGGTAGAGATGTGATGGGGAAATACTTTCAGTGAAAACTGGAGGAAGTTACTGCCTGTGGGGTAAGCCACATTTGAATTATGCCCATTTAGTGTCGTCCTTCTGATGTTGATGAAATCAGAATGGTTTAGATTTTCAAGCCGAGACATTTTGCCACTGAAACAGCTCTTGAAATTGAATGTTAAATTAATTTCTTGATTCTGGCAATTTTTTTACTTTGAATTTTGTTTAGGAAGTGGGGGAACAACTCCGGAATGCAGCTGGTCAACCCTGTCCCACTCCATTCCCTGTATACCTGTCTTTTGTTTGTTTGTTTTTAGTTCAGGTGTTCCTGGACTATGTTGGTTAGTGTTCCGGATCAGATTAGCATGTCCTCAGAGCATAATACAGCAAACGCTAGAGCTGCTGTCAAAATATCAGCTAGAAAACCTACCCTGCATTTCACTTTGGGGTCATTGTCATGCTAGGTTAAAAATAAGAAGTTGGTTGAGCTGCTAAGAAGGAAAGTCCGTCTTGCCCAGCCATATGCCGGCGTCTTTCTAAAGAGAGATGACACGTAAGTGTAATTTTTCCTTCACTCCTTTGCTGAAGTTGCCCTGGAGTGTAGCTCACCACCAGTCCTGCTCTGTAGAGTAGCTTGGACCTCTGACCCTTGACCTGAAAGAAAGCAAGCAGAGCTTACAGGGAACTAGGCCAAGAGCTGAGCATCCCTTTGTCTGGGCTGAAGGCTCGGCTTGCAGCGCTGAGCTTCATGCATTGTCAACATGGGGGGATATTAACCTCAAGGACCCTTGGTGTTAAAACACACGTACCTGCAAGGCTGCGTCAGCACAGAGCTAAGTGGGCAGATAGCACAGCTCCAGGTCCATCCACCCTGATTCCTGGTAGAAATAGTTCCACTTCCAAGTTAGAAGGTGCATCCTGAGCAGGCTCTGTAATGGGGGTGTGGATTGGAATCAAAATTCCATCCAGGCTGGCTCACTACCAACTCAGCCAGGAGCTACTCACCTGTGTGCATTTACCGCCGGCGGCCCTTAGCTATTATAGCAGGTGCTTTACTGGGCTCCGGAGGCCCTGGGGGAGTGAGGCGGTCGCTCTTCGAGGCCAGATGGGGTGTTTCTTGTCTCTCCCTTCATCCTCCCTCTTAGCCTAGACACCCTGTGGGAATCAGCACCTATGCCGACATTCCTTTGTCTCCCTTAGCAACGAGTCTGATGTGGTCGAGAGCCTGGACGAGGTCTACCACACAGGGACGTTTGTGCAGATCCATGAGATGCAGGACCTTGGAGACAAGCTGCGCATGATCGTCATGGGACACAGAAGGTGCGGGGGTCTGAGCATGTGGGACAGGGTGGATAGAGTGTCCCCAAGTGCCCCCAAGTCCCAGCACTGACCTGCCCTTCTCGGTCAGCCCTGTGGCCTGGTCACCACAGTGACCAGGCTGAGACATGTCACCCCTGGAACCCCCCTTCTCAGAGTCCCCTTGTTAAAGTGGCAGTGTGGGTGGTCAGTGAGAAGCCGTTTCTGTAATGCACCTTATTCAGAAAAGCATCACAGAAACAAAGTAGCAGGTTGCCTCATAGTCCCGTGCCTCTGTGTCTGCCGTTCACGGTCG